TGTCTGGTTTGGGAAAAATCACTTAGTGGCAAACAACTTTGAAACTAGGAGAGGATTCAGAGCTTTGTATTCCAACACTCACTTTGTGGGAAACTATAGTCCAGGAGGTCCAAACATTTACTCAAGGCCACATAGTGAGTTGCAGTCACAGCCCAGTTCTCCCGACCCACGATCCAGTCTCCTTACCGCTAAATAGTCCTCCTCTCTGGGGCACGCTGATTCCATCGGAGCCGAACTCTGCCCTTCACGCTCAGTGCAGCCCGGGTGAGGTGCGTGAAGTGCACTCTGTGCCCTGTTCCCCCTTTGCAGCCTAGTACCAGCACCTGTGTGGGTTGGTGACAGCTCTTTGCTGTGCTCCGGGACCAGTGCTCCCTGAACCTGCGATTTAAGAGATGGGTCAGGTCCACGTGTGGACTCATGTGAAGATGGCTCGTGCACACAAGTCTGTGCACACACACACGCACCACCCCCCATACACGTCTGTCTCCTTCTATCACTAAGGTGGGGTAGTCTTGCCCTCGTGGAGTCATGACAAAAATCAACAAATTAATGGAATCTGCACGCTGAACCTGCTAAGGAAGCAAATTCAATGTGTGAAAACTTGAACCAGAAAGGCAAGTCGTGAGAGATGGTTCTATCTGCACACACAGGTCACTTATCATAGGTGTTCAGAGAGCTTTGCCATGTTGTGCAGGGTGCTGTGACTCTGTAAGGGGGTTTCCCCTAGTCTTAGTTCACAGTTCATGACTCGGGGCTGCCGGAAATCCTAAGGAAGTAGCACGAGGAATCTAAGCTATTAAAAATAAGCCCTATCTTTCATATCTACATTAAATACAGATTATCTGTATTCACTAAAACTGTACCTATCAATCACAGAGACATCCAAATATTGTTGGACACTCTGGATGCAGGCATTTCCTATAGTTATGTTTCATGAAAAGCACAACATTACCTAGATTAGCAAATTGCTAGAGGGGAGGGTGTGACTCAGTGGTAGAGTGCATGCCTAGCATGCATGAGGTCCTGGGTTCAAGCCCCATGCCTCCATTAAGTAAATAGATGAATAAACCTAATTACTTCACCCCAGGAATTTTATTAAAAAATAAATTAGTAAAAATATGTTTTTTAATGAAAAAAATCAAATTGCTTAGGGCTTAGGTGGTCGTGGGAAGAGTGGTGAGGGCTTGAGAATGTGTGAGCTGAGAACCTAGAGGACTCAGTTATCTGATATAAAGAAGAGAAGACTCTGAGTCACTTATGGGAGAAGATACACACACTTATATATGTACTTAGAGTAGTCACCCTTGTTTTAAAATATACATATGTCATGTAAATAGCCCATAATTAAGTTATCTTGTCTCTTTAAGTGTCCATTCGTCAAGTGTGTGTGGAGGCTTTAAAGTAACGTTGATGCTAATCCTAGCTCCATGTACCCTACCGTCCTGTGAGATGGCCTTCCGCAATACTCCTGCGTGCTGGGCTGGGACACCAGGGCTGTGCGCCGGAGCCCATCCTGGGTGTACTAGACATCACACCTCTGAGCTTTCTCTTTGGATGAGTCCTCTTCTTAACTGGCTGCCGAGGCACCTGATGGTGGGCAGAAATGCCTCTTTACAGGGGATGCAGGGGTGCCTTCATGGCAGAGCCTTCCTCACTGGAGGGGGAAGTAATACAACAGGGACAGAGGCTGTCCAGCCCACAGCAGAGCCTTGGGCTCCCATCAGCTAGGATGGACACTCTTCACTTCAGCTTCTTAGCTCAAGGGGACAGTTTTTTTATCCTCCGAGGTCAGCTTAGTTTTCTGAGAATGTTAACAGGACTTCCTGGGTCATTTCCATCCTCTTGTGTTCCTGGTGACGAATGGTAGCTCATCTCTGAAGAATTTTTCCTGCCTGTGCCGAGGTCCTAACCTGCCAATGTAGGGACACTGTCAACACCAGCGGTGTTTCCTGAGCTGCTTATTACTGGTGAAAACTCCCACTGCTCCTAACTTGCCTCCTTTTGTTCACTCCCACCCTGACCCTTCCATTTAGAATGGGTTTGGAAGCCCTTGTGGAGTCATATGCTTTCTGGAGACCTTCACTACGGACCCTCACCTTTGAAGATATTCCTGGAATTCCCAAGCAAGGTAAATCACAAAGTCATACATACAGCCACTTCCTGCCTAGACTCGGGCGCTGAAAAACGCACAAGTCACCACTTTCCTCTATAACGGCAACCTCATCATCAACATCCTCCTATTACACAAGCCTTCTTTTCTGTGTGGTATGGGGATGGGCCAGGAAAATGGCTGTTGTGGTCATAGGTTAAGTACTGGAGGTTTTAGGCTGTTTATATATTTCATGACCTTTACTTGACCCTTAAATCCCTTATTAAAATTAGAGGTAGACTAGTTGGCCCTGGTACCAGGGGCACTTCACAAGAAATTAACGATGCTGGTCCCAATTCACCCTTTCTTGCCAGTTCTTTTCTTCTCTTCCTTCAACAGAACTTTCCCTAGGCAGGGCTCTTCTGTTGGATTGATGATGAGGTGGTCAGGCACACAGGAGGCAGACTTCCCTGAGCTCGCCTCTGAGTATTTCCCACAAGCCTGGGGCTGGTGTGTCCCCAGAGGGAGCTGCAGGGAACGGGATGACACGTCCTTCCCTGCTCCGCAGGTAGGACTCGCAGCCCACTCCTGCACTCGGGCTTTTTACCCCTGATCCTGCCCAGCACCCTGGTGAGAATTTAGCACGCTGGGTTTTAGATAATTATCACTGAGCGGATCGGGCTTGTAGATTATTTTGAGAAGCTATATAAAACATTGTCGCTAAAGCCATGAAGGTTTTACAGCCTGTCCAGCCCATTGGAATTCTCTTCTCTCCCTAAGTTCTGTCAAGTTGTGAACATCAATCTGCCAGCAAATCCAGAGTGGGGAGTCGGCCGCCACCACCATTATTGATTGAATGCAGGGTTAAACACCCTCTCTGTTTCACAGGACTGTTTATTTGCTGGACCTCTGCTCTTGTGTTAGCATGTGATTCACCAACCTGTTTATTGGTTGGAAAGGAGATTTTTGAAGTTCTAGAAGTTATCTTATTGCAGTAGCCCTGAGTGGTACAATCTGATGCACACAGATTTCAGTGGGAAATGCCAAGTATGTTTGAGGCAGGATGTGCCTTGGACCAGTTCACCTTTTTCCTTTGAATTCCTTCTTTTTTCTTGCAGGAAAATATATTGACCCAGAGCAAGCACTGCTGAAAGAAAGAGTAAAAGCTGGGGGGGCTGGTAGAAGTGAGGTGATGGTCATACTTTTGGAACAAGATACAGAGAAAGATGTAATTTATATTTTACAAAGTTGCTGGGAAAGTCAGTATTTGTGGTGTTTATTATAATAAGTGAGAACGTTTTGACAAAGCTCAATGAGGGAGAGGATGTGAAAATTCTGTGACAGTCCTAGTATCTCTCCCCCCAAATCATTCCGTGGGAGAGAATTTTCCTTGAAAATATTGAGAGGATCTGTGTTTAAAATATTTCAGTCTGAATACAGTGAACTTACAATTCCTTGAGAGTGAAAACCATATCCTTTTCATCTTTGTACCCAACCTTTGTAACAAGCCACGTCTAACTCACGCTGACAAAACTGAAAGGAAAAGATGCTCTTTACATTTCAACTTCTTTTGTAGGAAATACAAGTTCCTCCACCTTACTCCAAGGTTCTGGGAACGGTGTTCCGGCCACCCACCCTCATCTTTTGTCCGGCTCCCCTTGCTCCTCTCCTGCCTTCCACCTGGGACCCAACACCAGCCAGCTGTGCAGCCTGGCCCCGGCCGACTACTCCGCCTGTGCGCGTTCCAGCCTCACCCTCAACCGATACAGCACGTCCTTGGCGGAGACCTACAACAGGCTCACCAATCAGACCGGCGAGACCTTCGCGCCGCCCAGGACTCCCTCCTACGTGGGCGTGAGCAGCAGCGCCTCGGTGAACATGTCCATGGGCGGCGCAGACGGGGACACCTTCAGCTGCCCCCCGACGAGCTTGTCCATGCAGATTTCGGGGATGTCCCCCCAGCTCCAGTACATCATGCCTTCACCGTCCAGCAACGCCTTTGCTGCTAACCAGACCCACCAGGGTTCCTATAACACGTTCAGGTTACACAGCCCCTGTGCCTTGTACGGATATAACTTCTCCACATCCCCCAAACTGGCTGCCAGTCCTGAGAAAATTGTTTCTTCCCAAGGAAGTTTCTTGGGGTCCTCGCCGAGTGGGACCATGACGGATCGGCAGATGCTGCCCCCCGTGGAAGGAGTGCACCTGCTTAGCAGTGGGGGTCAGCAGAGTTTCTTTGACTCTAGGACCCTGGGAAGCTTAACTCTGTCATCATCTCAAGTGTCTGCACATATGGTCTGATGAAGCCTTGAAGTTAAACTACATTCTAACGTATTTTCTTTCCTCGTTTTCTTTTTCTTTTTGGAAAGCAATATGAAAAGAAACTTATCAGTAGCTTGTAAAGTGTACATATAATAGAAAATGAAGGCTCACTGAGTTTTTGACTTTCTCGTGGTGAGATTGTAACGATCTATGGTATATATCTACACTGTGTATGGCATGTGGAGTTTTGCAGCCTACAAAACCACATCCTCCCTCTCTTTTTCCCCTAGTTCCTCCAGTTGCAGAGTATTGGCGTAAATGGTGTACGTTTAACCAAAGTTCTCAAGCTTTTAAAAAAAAAACAAACAGCAAACTTAAAACTTGGCCATGATACTAACCAGACTAAGACTTATAACTTAATTGATCAGGAAAATGCTCTACCCAGTTTCCGACTTGAAGGTTGATATCCAGCAGTACCGAGCACACGAGAGCCTTGTGATTTCTGTTATTCTTGGGCACAGTGTGAGAACCTAAAATGTAGAAGCCGGTTGAAGTCTTAGTGTTAGTTCTGAGGTATTTGTAGTCATGAAGGATTAGCTTTCGTGTTCCTGTTTGCTCTTACTTATCACAGATATTATGGGACTTGGTTCTGTAAAAATTTATAACCCATAATAATTACTTTCTAAAGGAAGATGGAGAGGCTTGTGATTTTTTTTCACTTTCCTTTGGGCTTAGAAGAGATATTTATTCATCTGCAGAGAACAGATTTCCAGTATTTTGGATTTTTTTGCTCATTTTATTTAGTTATCAAGTAGACTGTTAAAGAATGTTCTATAAACATTTTAAAATTCTGATCTTCACCAGGGTAGGAATATGTGATAGGAGTGGAATGGCAAAAAGAAAATAAATGCACCTCAAATTCTTTGATTCCTTCAAGAAATGTCTGTCTTTCTAAATCAAGAGGAGAAATATTGTCAGCTATCTCTTAGGTTTTTATAGTGCAGTTTTTCATTCAGGATTTTTTTCCCCCATATTGCTTTGAGATTCCTGACCCTTGGTCTACAAGTAAGGAAAGGCATCCACGCTACTTATTTATGTCTCGTAACTCCTACAAATTGAAACCTTCCCCGCCTCCTGAACCTTGTCCCTCTGTCTGAGTCTTTCCCCAAATAGACAGATTCTAGGCTTTCGCGGTGTTAAATAACACTGTAAGGAATTTCAGGGGGTTATCGCCGGCAATCTGTCTTTCGGGGGTTGCTGTGCAAAGGCCAAAGCCCATTACTATAAAAGCCCACTTGGAGGATGAAGGAGGAAGATACTAATTATGATAAAGGAGCTATACAACTTTTAACCTCAACATCGTTTGTAACCTCGAAACTGAGAGAAAAAATGCCAACAGCAATATTTTAAAAAATTAGTTTTTGAAATAAGGTATACACAATTTCAAAACAAGTGGTAACTTTGATCGTACATCATGGGATGAGCAGGAAAGGCTATGAAAGCATGGTGAAGAGCATTACCATATTGACTGGTGAGAAACTAAAATTATGTGTCTGTCCATGGACTCATTACGTTTCATGTATTTGCCAAGTGAAGGCAGTGTGGTTTCCTTTTAGTGCTAAACAGCATTCCTTTAACCCATCCCTCAGTTACATGGGGAAAGGGTATAGCTCCTGATTCACTTCTTTATTTTAAGACAGCCTGGCTGTTACATATTTAGGGGGATTGCTATTTGAACAGTATTTGCCCAGGATGTGACTCTGCATATAAACACTGATGGACTCCTCATGGATTCTGTAACAGTTCATCAAATTCGTATTGATATTTAAATTTAAAATTAGCATGAAGGGACATGACATATTTCCAATAGGGAGGTCTATATAAGATGTTTGTGTATGGGATTAATAGCTTACAAAGATTTGGCCGAAGTCCTCATGAGTACGTCTCAGCCTTAGTGCTTAGTACTGTTTGAAGAGAACAAGCAAGTTTCCCATCTTGAGAAAACATGGAAAGTAATGATCTCTACCTATATGTATGAATAAGATGAGAATTTTTCTTTTTGCTCTTTGTGATTTGAGATGGCACCACAATACGAGTAGAATTTTTAATTAATCTCTTCTTTTTGATTTAGCAGTATTGTACAAATGCTGTTTCCTTTAGATTTTACTGTAAATATTAATCATCATGTCACTTCAAAGACTAGCCTTTTATTGTTATATTAAATGACATACATGCATTGATAATTATAATTATATATCTGTATTTTATTAAAAATGCTTAAGAAATTATATATTAAAGTGTGTTACTAAACCTTTTTATGCCTTTGAAGGGTAATCATTTAAAGTGTCTATAAATGTTGTTCCAAGAATAAGCACACCCATGCATATACCCCAAGTATAAATTGTGTAGCTTACAATTACAAGGCATTGGGAGATGGGCCTGGTATTCATTTTTCATGTGTTAAATATAATTTCTTGGTGCCTTGACCATGTCATTGAAGGTGAAGCCCTGACAAATGTTGAACACATGAAAATTCAAATGTGAGAAGAGGAGGGCAGAGTGGTATGTTTTGTTTTGGGTCCTGAATCGGGGGAAGGGCAAGGACATAAGAATGAGCTGCTTGTACCACTGACCAGTGATGACAGATCACTTCTAGACTCCTTGCCCAGAAAACATTCCAGGGGACATTGTGATGAGGTGAGGTTGCTGCTATCACTACCAGTCACATTTTGAAAATTAACACTTTCTTCCATACAAGCTCCCCTCTAGAGGTCAACAGCTTTTCACAAGCAGGGCACCCAGTTGCTGACCCCTGATTTCTGGAATGTAGGGGGTCAGGAGACTTTGGTGGCCCCCAGAGGAGGCTGGGGCACAGTGTTGCTGATATAGCAAAGGATCACACTCACTCCTTACATTAGTGAAATTTTGAGCCAAGGCACCTCACTTCTAAAATGTGAGTTCTTCTTGAGACCTCACTCCCTAGACTTAAACCTATTAGCAACTTACATCTTAGTATGAAATAGATAAACAGAAGTTTTGAAGATAGCTGGAGGTTTGATTAAGAGAAAAGAATACTTTTTGGAGTAGGGCAGTTTGGTGAAGATTTAGATGCCAAGGAGAAGAGGGCTCTCTAACCAAACCTGGTGTAAAGCCACTAAAAATAATCATTTCATGAATTTCTTTCAGGAGTCATGGTAGAGTTGGTGGATTCTATGCCGATGCTGTCTTTTTTTTTTTTTAACTTTTTTTGTTGAGTTATAGTCATTTTACAAAGTTGTGTCAAATTCCAGTGTAGAGCACAATTTTTCCGGTTTGTAAGGAATCCTTTATTTCAAAGTATAACTGTGCTGGGTTTCCTCATGGGGAGTTTACTGACTCACCTACATGGAGGTTTTCTTAAGGCTTCCAGTGGAAATTAAATAATTTTATTAAGTTATTACCACATTGTATTTTAATCTCATTGATCATCATTCCTTAAAATAGATGCTCAGATAAGTTGTGGTTGAAGTTGAATATGTGAACAGTTAAGCAGACATATATGATTACAGCTGTCTAGGAGCTCCAAACTTAAAAACATTATCAGTGATGGAAATGAACAAATATATATATTTTCAAGTATAGAAACATCCAACAGATGTTTATAAACTTAGTATCCATGTACATGTTGATAGATTTTTGAATGATAAATTTTCTTTTTTTGAAATTTTGGTATGGTGAGAAGAACATCACTTCTTTAAGAATTAGGGAACATGG